CTCTCTTCCCACTGCTCTCTATTTAAAGATAGCCTGAAGCCTCCTCTTCCCTCTGACAGGAGTCTCTCACACATATCCTTACTTTGTACCCCCACTTCTCTTCCCAGTGAGTCGTTTGTTGGTCCTTAACAACCACTTCCACTCCCCCACAAGCCGGAGTACGGGAGGAATTATTCATCGTTTTACATAATAAAGGAACAGAGACGATTAAATTAAATGGTGAGGATGTGGGTTTAAAAAACAAAAAAAAAACCCCAATACACACACTAAAAGGAAGCAGTGCGCGCAAATTCCGTAATTAGCTTTCATAGGATATTCTGGAGGTCAAAAAACTTGTAAGATTTAAGTCCAACAGCTTTAGAGAGGTAAAGCTCCTGAATGGCTTATGAGACTGCCGAACACAAAGACACGCAAAACAGTCTAAAGTTTAGGGACCTTCTGAACCAGATATCAGTGAAACCTAAGAGACGGTTTCAGAAAAAGAGTACGGAAAGGGTTTGTCACTGATAGTACCACACAAAACAACCATCCTGTTCCCAGAACCTTTCCTAAAGCAACTGATCCTGTCCACTGTCAGAGATGGAGTGAAAGCAGAAGGAGGAAGAGAGGAATTCGGATCAGACCCAGAACCGTCCTCACGAATTGGCCGTGTGTAAGGTAAGGTTTTGCTGCCTTTGCTAAAGAAGTTAAACGATTACAGAAAAGTGACAAGGAAGATGACAGTGCCCAGCCATAAGGGGAGGGAGCGAGCAAAACGAAGACCCGAATTAGTTAAGCGGAGAGAGAGAGAGAGAGAGAGAGAGAGAGAGAGAGAGAGAGAGAGAAGAGAGGGAACACGGCCAAAAAGGGTAACAGATAAACACGGACTGGGCTCACGGTATAACGACGAACACGGCAGACTCCGGCCCTTTATGCAGGGTGAGAGCGGCGCGGGGTGCTGGGCGCCGATCGCGGGGCCGGGAGGAGCGAGCACACACACGCATGACAGCGAGCGGCCCGCACGCCCGGGCTGCCATGTTCTCACGGCGCCCCGTGTAAACAACGCGCTGCCCCCCTGGCGCTGCCCCCCCCGGCGCTGCCCCGGCCGCCTCCCCCTTCCCGCCGCCCACCCGCGCCCAGCCCGGCCCGGGGTGCTGCGGGCCCGGCCCGGGAGGCCGCGGCCGCCCCGGGGCTGTGTTTACACTGACAGCCGGCGTGCACCGCCCGCCCCGCCGCCGAGCGCGGACCCCGCTGGGCTGAGGGGGGACCCGGGGCGGCCCCTCCGGCCCCGCGGCCGCCCCGCCGCGCCCCGCGCGGAACCGAAAGTGCGGCGGGGCAGGGCAGGGCAGGGCAGGGCGGGGGGCGGGAGGTGCCGCCGGAGCGACCCCCCGGCCCCGCCGCCCCCGCGGCCGCCCCACGCGCCCCGGCCGCCCCTCACGGCCCCCGCGCGGCGCGGCCGCCCCCTCCCCGCGCAGGGCCGCCTGTCAGCGCCGCCGCGGCGGCAGGAGCCGGAGCCGGCGGCTCGCCGCGCCCTTACCGTATCCGTGCGGGCGGAGGCCGCACCCGTTGGGCCGCGCAGGCCGGGAGCGGGAGGCGGCGGGCGCCGCCCGGGCAGAGCCGGGCCGGGCCGGGGCCGGGCCGGGGCGGGAGGGGCGGGGGCGCAGCGGCGCGACCTGCCCGGCCCGGCCCGGCCCCCCCCGCGCCAGCGCCGGGCGCGCGGGGGCGCTGCGGGCAGGCGGGGCCGCTCCGCGCCTGCGCGGGCCCGGCCGACACGGGGACGGGGAGCTCCTGAGGGAGCGGCGGCCGCGCCGGGAGCGTCCCCGGGGCCGTGGTGTCCGTCCGTCCCCCCTGCTCCGGACCACAAAGGGCGAGGCTGAGCGGCATCGAGACCCCTGCTGCGCCGGGGTTTTCCCCCTGAGCCCCGTGCCGGAGCAGGTGCCTGCTCCCAGCGCCGCGGGCGCGGCGGTCTCCTCACGGACAGAACGAGCTGTCCGTGTGTCTGGTTGCTGCCGGTTCCAGGAGCTCTCTAAACGCAGGGGTCTGGTGTGGGAAAGAGAGACTGTTTATTCTGCGAGGTGGAGGTTTCTGCAGAACGAGCATCCCCGACGATCAAAAGCTTTTACTATGTGTACATTTTAGCAGACAAAGGAATTAGTGTTCATTGGCTACAAGTTGCATAGTTCTCTTATTAATTAGTATTCTATCTCCTATTGGTTAATGATTCTCTCTCTTCTCATAGTAATTAGTCCCCATGTTCGGTCTTTCTCTTCTCTTGGGTGGGTGCGTTTCTTGGGTCGGGGGTCCCTGAGTCGGTGGTTCCCATCTCCCCCTGAGGGAATTACCTTTTACCCAGTCGGAGCTGATTCCAGCACAGTTGCTGACTTGGGTTTATTAGTTTCCTCCTTATCTTGGGAGTTCTGCCAGATGGCCCCTAAATTCTGCATCTTTTTGTCCACATCTTTGTGTTACATCCTCCTTCCCAAGTTTTGTTAAGCTCTCCGTAGGTCTGAGGCCATTGAAGCATGTCAGCCCCTAAACTCTAAAAAAGCAATTCTATCAATGAGTAATTTGTTTTTCTAACACATGGACATCACTTAGAGCTTGTTAGCCACTCTCTGTTTCATGGGTTAAATCTCACTTCTTGTTGATTAGGCCTGAAAGTATACAAAAATCAAACATCAACGAACATCCTTTCCTAAGAAAATTTTTGCGTATTCCACGTTTTGCAACACAATCAGCTGTGGAGCCTCAGGCCTACAGAACCAACTCCAGGCAGTGACCTGTCAGGGCAATGCTGAAGTATTGTTTTCCAGTTTTACCCAGTCACAGGTGTCTTCTAGAGCGCGTGGTTTTGAAGCCAGCCAAATTCATAATGCATCTTTTGTTACCCCCTTGGCAGTAGGAGACACGCTGTCAGACTCTGCTCACAAAGCAGAGTACATATATAAGACTGTCTTGATCCAACCTGGTCTGGAGTTTTTAATAGGGTTGGTCTTCTCCTTTGCAAATATTGGGCTTTAACCATTATGCCAGAAAAAAACCTCCACTGCCAAGGAGACTTTCTGCATTGCGAAGCCACTTGCTGTAAGGAGCTCTAGGATGAAGGTTTCTGTTCAGACTGATTGAGGCCCCGCTGTGCCTGTACATTGCAGGAGTCTGACACGCTCCTTCTAACAGCAGCCCTCGGCCCTGAGCAGTGCACACGGGCACTACAGTCACACACACGTGCTCCTCACCTGCATCTGTGTGCAGAAGTGCCTCTCTGCTACATCTCAGTTTCCATCTGACCACCGACATCTACTGCTCCCTTGGCGCTCCTGTGCATCTCCTCCTCCACCAAGTCTGATTTTCAGTCCTCAGTTTCTGCCTTTAACCACTGCTCCAGAGCTCTGGCTCTTCTTCCTTATGCATCTGAACTGACTATTTCTTTCCTCTGTGTTTTCAGGGCATCAGCTTCCTTTCCTAAGGAAATAAAATCTTTCAGGGTTCTTTAGGTTCTGGAATCTGACTGACTTTGACAGGTCACATACAATTTGAGTTTTCCAGGATATATAACATGGGCAGTTATTTTCCTCAGAGATGGCACCAACATCTCCCTGACAATAAAGGTAGCCCTAAAAATATCAGTCCTGTGCCCTGAAGCATGGAAACATTGGTGGTTCTTTCTTTCCAAAAACATGTCAGGCATTACTAATAATAGATGGTGCAACCAGCAGCCTCTTATGTAAGTGGCCACTGCTGAGGTGTAAAGTTAAAGTAGCTGTCACTTTGTAATAAAGCACACATCGTAGCAAAATTGAGCTTCTACTACACGCATACACTTGGATGTCATCAATTACAGATTTTGCTACTGGTTTACATTAACCAATATGAAATTTCAGTTTTCTGTCTGGTCTTTAAGAGATAAGAGGTAACACTTTTAGATATTTTGTTTGCCTTTAATTAAAAGCAAGGCTCAAAGTATATGGGTAAAAAAGTTCTCATTTATTAAAAATGTAGCTGACATCCGTGTTGCTGCTAGAAATTATAGAATAGTGTTCAGTGTTTGCACATCAGAAAGTGTAATTATTTTAATGTTCTAGCATGCAAATTGTATAAAAAATGTAACAAAGTTGTAAAGTTAAAATCTCATTGGCAGTGGATGATGGGAGTTCATGTTTTATAGGCCTTGGGCTTAGATCTGAGATAGCAGATGATAGTACAAAATAAATGGAAGTAAAGAGCAAGTCAAGAAAAAGGTAGGAGGAAGAGATTAAAGAGTTCCTGGCAAAAATTGTCTTGTTATAGACTGAAAATATGTCCAGCTGTGTGGGAGTTTTAGCCCTTAATGACAATTTTCTTGCAGCCTGGCAGACCTAAGTGCTGTCAGTTTTGTCTGTAGTTCTTAATTAGTCCTGACTTGATGTGCTCACTCTTTTGGGTTTGGTTGATTTCAGCTTTTTTTAATTCTTATTCTTCCTTCAATGGGTCCAAGTTAAACCTCAGGAAAAGAAGAAAACCTCTCTGTTCGGGTGCAGCAGGACATACTCGCTACTGCTCTGCACGTTACTGGAGCTGCCTGTGCCAGCAGGAAGGAAATTCCGGATGGGCTGTTTGGGATGGATATTTTGTTGCGTGTGTTTGTCACAAAAGCGCTCACTTCAGTAGCACAAGCCTGAAACACTTGAGTGGCCTTGCTGTTATAAAAGATGACCTCTAAGATCCTACCAAGACCTCACAGGAAAAAAAAAATTACATTGTGAGCTGAGAGCTCAAAGATTATTGCTGGTGGAAAAATATCACTGGGAATGGTAAGAACCAGGAGTAGTCTGGACAGAGTCCTATTCTTGAGTTGCTGTACCCCAGTGCAGAAAAGGGTTTTCTGTCTGGACCAAGTTGGACAGATCCCAAATGGAGGTGGCTATTTTGACACACTATTGATAACTGGAACAGTTCTTTAGTACCAGTCTCAAGCAACGCTGCATATGCTGAGTGCAGAAAGGGCCACTGGGTATCTGTTTCTTCCATGACAAAGGGACAGATGTTTCCCCAAATTGTGGAATCATCTAATGGTTTGGTTTGGAAGGGACATTGAAGATTGTCTAGTTCCAATTAGCTTTTGGAGTTATTTTTGCAGGGATATGGGACCTAATTTGAGGTCTGTAGATCTGTTGATTCACATATTTCTTTTGCCAAGGAGAAATACCAAATAAACAAAGGTTCCATCTGTGAAGAACTCCAGATCCAGCAGAATTAAGGCAAAGCTTCAGACTTGTTGCAAATTTTCTGTGCTATGAAGACACATGACTAGTGGCAGCTTAACTCAAATTTACTTAAACTTCTTACCTACCCCCTTGATTTTACTCATAATGTATGCTACTAAAGCAGCTTATATTTTACAGTAAAGGCCTTTAAATTGCATGTCTAAGCCTAATCCTTTCTGAATTCACCAGCTCCTTTATAATTTTCCCTTAATGGCATGCAAATTAGAAGGAATAAAATAAAACAAAACAAACCCTCAAAAAAACCCAGCCAAGCATACCCCCTCCTTTCCTTAAAGCTGCAATGCTACTTTGCTTGTAGAGCAGGTGAGCACGAGAAGCTTCTGATCCTCAGCAGGGGTTGTAACACCACTAATTACATGGGAGTTATGTGATTAGAGCAGGGGAGTGATGCAGTGCTGAAACAAGCCTGTTGCAGGCAGGATTTAGTCTTGAATAAATTTGTCTCACTTTTAAGATAGAAAGAATTATACAGAAATAAAGGAAGAAGTGGTTTGTTGCTGCCTATTAGATGGACTTTAAAATACAGCAGTTTATTTTAGAAAGAAAAAAGTAAGTTAGAATAAGTGTGGAAGAGGACAACCTCATTTTCACTCAAAAATACATGGAATGTACATGGCATATATGTTTTCTTAGTTTAGATGTAGCAGAAAACAAAATGGTCACAAGGGAGCCTTCTTATACAGGGAAACCCTTTGGGAAACGGTGGTGTTTTACAAGAAGAAATTCCTTACAGAGACTAACTAGTTTGACTTAAAGAAAAAGTAAAACTTAATTGTCCTCAAAGGCATATTTGTCTTTCCATAGCATAATATTTCAGCATTGAAAACTACTTTTCATTTAGGAACAGCCAAGCTCTGCAAATGGAAAATGTCTTTATACGGACAGAGCTGAGTGAGGATGTCTCAGAACTGGTACAGAACAGAAGATTCTGAGAAGAGACATGCTGAAAGGTAACAGGCAGGGGGTGGAAATCAAGCCATTAAGGTTTTTCTCATAAAGTAACAACTTCAGACACTTTAAAGTCCTTCTCTCTTCATTTACAACTAGGACTGAGTAGTTTGTGTAACTTCCTTCTGCTGCAAATACTCATAGTAAGTGAAAAGGGGCGAGACTGCAGTGATTTTGATTTTATTGAACTTCATTAATAATATAAATGGAAACATCCACCCCCCCTTGTGTTCCCATTGGCAAGACCTGTCAAGCCTTAAGCATTTACTCCAGGTTTGGCTCCTCTCGCACCAAATACTTTGCATTGGAAATTAGTCACCTACTAAAACAGTGGAGTGAAAAGATTCACAAACCACAATTAAAAAAAAAAATCAAGCAGATTTTTTCCAGTGGAAAAAACCATAGATTATTCATTTCTTCCTGTATTGTTCAGCTCCAGATTTTGGGGATGGGGGATTCTTTCTCTGTTCCAGGTTTTAGCAATCATACTGCTTTTGATTTACTGCCCTCTTCTGCTTGATAATGTCAGTGCATGTTGTCCAATGGTTAATTGTTCTCAATTAGCCCTCACTGGAGAATAAAATTTCCCACTAACTACTGAGAAAGAAGTAGTATGCAGGAAGAAAAGCCAGGGGGAAAAAAAATCACATTATGGGAAGTTGATTGATGAATCTCCACGGACCTTAGTAATTTAATTTAATTACAGAGATAGAAAGGGAAAGGGGAAATATGATCTGGATACTTATTACCACTTATCTTATTACCACTCATCTTCCACTTATTCTCTGTATTTTCCCCTTTAATTTGATTGGTTTGCATACCACAGTCACTGCTGAACTGAGAAGGGAATGCACAGGCAGCCTAGCTTCCTGAGATGAAACACAGAAGTTACAGCAATGTAGAACACTTTTCCAAGGACACAAGCAGAGCTCACATATATACCTTCAGGAAGATCACTGTCATGAAGGTTTTAAAATAAGGAAAACTATCACTAAAAAACCTAAGATTTTTAGGTATTTAAGAGACTGGATCTGCACATGAAGCTGATGCAAATAATTAACTGACCACATGAAGAAGAGTCTTCTATTCCTCAGAAGCTTCCTGTTTGTGTGCTGTGCAGGAGCTGTTAAGCATTAATCACAAACAGCCTTCCAGAGCTTGCAAAAGCCCTCATTAGAGTTCAGTAAAACGTCAAGAGGAAGTGCAGAACATCTGCAGACACCTGAACGACAAGCAGATCATGCTGTTTCTACAACCTGTTTAATTACCCGTAGTTAAAGCAAATAGCAGAAATAACTCCAGCACAGAAACCTCTACTTTTAGCCCTTCTCCCCCTCCAATAGAGTTAGAGGAGGCAACATCTCCTGCAGCATCCCAAAAAAAGGAGTAAAGCTCAGAATGCAGGAGAATCCAGTTAACCAGTGGTAATGTTCGATGCCTGTCACTCTAGGATGGAATTAAATTCCATCATCCTGCACAGCTTCCATCTTCTGCAGCAGGTGAGCAGGACAAGAAAGAAAAGCACACAATCAAGAAACAGCTTCCTCAAGAGCAGAATTGTCTGCGTGGCAATAGGGATGGCACTCCATGGAAATGAGCTAAGCCACGTGCAGCAGACAAAGTGAGCTCCTGTGTCCTTTCACACAAAATTCTTCCTGTCCCTGCTCGTCTTCCCTCATGCTGTACGTGCCTATATCCTCTCAGCTCTCTCCTGCAGCACTGCTGGCTCAGTTTTTTAGCACCTGCAGAGAGGGAACAGCACCTGCAGAGAGGAAATGGCACCTGCAGTAGCCGATTGTAGCCAGTGCTGCAGAGGTGCATCATAAATTTGCTTATCTGCTGAAAAACACATCAAGTAACTCATTTTAGCTACTGATCTCCTCAGTCATCACTCAGCTGGTAGGAACTTTGTGTCCCTCCCACCTGTCTGGTAAAACAGAAGTTGGGGTGGCTAGGTGGTTCAAAATGTTTGAGGGAGAGAGGCCAACAGGTGAGGGGGAAAAAATCACAGCATATTCTTGGCTTAGTTGGAGTTCACTGAGGTTTTGTCTTTGGGGTTTTTTGGTGTGCATTTTGGGGTTTTGTTTGTTTGGTTTGGTTTGGTTTGGGTTTGGGTTGTTTAGCTGGGGGTTTTTTGGTGATTTTTTTTCCCTAGAAAAGTAGATAAAAAGTAGTATCTTGTCACATCATCAAAGTTTGCTGCACAGGCACAAAAAATCCCAATTAACGTATTTCACTCTCAGATAGTCCAAGTGTTGAGTACCAACTTGCAGTTTGAACTGTCTTTTTAAGTAATTGCCTTTTGTTTTGAAGAAGTAAATGAATATGGAATTGAAACTCTCTATTTACGTCAACACAGGCAAAGAGTAAACCTGAAGCTGTTAGATGGACTTAATCTGTCTCCAGAGTTTTCAGCTGGCAGCAGCAGCAGGCTGTCCCCCTTCACGATAACCAGCGCTAGAGGGGGGTGAAATGCTTTGCCAGGTGTTTCCACAGATACTTGCTGACAGCAAAGGAGAAACGAGCAGTTTGGACAAATTTGTGAATCTCAAGTTTTACTTTGGCCTTTGAAGTGTATTCTCGTGAACAAACCTTTGCTCCCACCTCCTTTAGTCTTGTGTTATGCCTGTTCTCTGCTGTGGCCTGGTTCTCCTTAACGAGCCATTTCAACAACACCCTTTCAACATTTCCTATGGTTGGTCACAGCCTTTGTGCAGCAACTCAAAAATTCACTTTTTTGAAGGTGAAGGACAGAGAAATATTTATTTATGTGGTAATTAGACTCGATACTAGCAAGACTGATGAAAATATTCAGCGATGGCCAGATCTCTGTGAATTGCAAAATATCTCTGTTTTTAATCTAGGATAATCAAGAGCTGAAGCAGATCATGCTGTGCTACATGTCATCACAGCTAGAGTTCATAATATATTCCTAGTTCCTTTGGCTTTCAAGAGTAATTTTTTTTTTCTTTTTTTTTTTTCTTTTTAATTAAAAAACCTAAACAAAACAAACAAAAAAGAGGATCCCTGACATAAAGCTATCCTGGGACTCAATTTTTTTTTTAAAATTGGAGGGATTAAAAGCTTTGGAAAGCTCACCACAGTTTGTGATTCAATCCTTCAGGCAGCTGTTCCGAAGGGCTAACGTATTTTGCCATGTACCAGAGCAGTTCCAGAGATAAAGGGCCATTCAGCAAAGCCTATGATTTCAGGAACCCTGCTGCTTGCTGCAGAAAAACAGCTTCTTTCACTGGGAATAAGTGAAAATTAAGAAATAGAACATTTAAGAGTATGCATCCGTCACAGGATGTTTAATCTACCAGATAAATAATGAGAGACTCTTATCCAACAAAATATCAGTCTAAGACTTTTATTCCAGCAGCTTTGTCTACAAAAATTGCTTTTAATCACAGTGGCTTTATCCTTTAAGCAGAAGGCCGTAGTATTTCTTCTCGAAGCTCAGGAGCCTGCTTTTGCCTCCGCATTATTCCAGTTATTCCTAAGCAGGTCCAGGGGCAACGGGCTATATTTTTGTTGGAACACTATTATAATTTGCTTTATGATGGGGGAAGCAGCATGTGTTGCTTTGTGCCATGGGTAGGAATGTCATAATGCTGTCATTTCCCTTTCAACATTTTCCAGAGTTCTGCTTGGAGAGAAAAGAGTCAGATACACCTTATAAAGCACACTTTCTATATAAATAGTATATAATATACCTTTTTTGGCTCTGGTTTAGAGTTGTTGCCATTCTGTGGTGGCTGTAATGGGTCTCAGCATTTTGTCTTAGATGCACACTCATGCACTTAGCACAACGGAGGGTTAGGAGAACAGTGTCATACAAATCCATTATTCATAATAGATGTATTCTCTATGAAGTTAATACTAAGAACACAAGATTATTTATCTATTCTGTTCTTTCTTAGCCCCTAAGAATCCTTGTCCATTTGAACACCTGTTGCACAGCCTTCCATTGGGATTTTGAGATTTGGTAGGAGCAGAGCCCAGCATCCCCGAGGCAGGAGCCACCACTTCGATCCATGATCAGTAACATCAGCTGGCGTTATTTTGATTGTCATGCTATAAAGTACCTATTGGTAGTACTTGCAAACAGGTTTTCTTCCCAAAGAAGGAGCCTTAAAAATGTTTAGTCCTGGATATTATTGTGCAAGGAAGGGTAGTATCTGAAATGTTTATGCAGGGGGAAAATTAGATATTGTACAGCCAGATGTCCCATGCTTACAATCTTAAATCCAAACTTGAGAGCAAACAGGTTGCTGTTTTCCCCGTGATCCAATTTAAAAACGCTAACATGTAATTTTTAAAAGATTTTTACTTGATTTAAAACCCTTTACTTACATTTTAGCATGGAATGTTAAAGGTGTAACTATGCACAGCAGTTTGGACCAAGAGTAAGAAATCAATGTACATAACGAGACAACAAAGACCTAGAAGGAGTTCTCCTGGCATGGTTTAGTTAAGTCTACTGCTTCTCTTAGCACATGCATTTAGCACATGCTGAGTGGTGCTTTGACTGGGTGCTACTTTCTACAGCAGAGATGTTAATCACAGAAGCGTCTCTCTAAGCAACTTAAATCTTATCTGTTGCAGCACTGAATACTGGTCCTAATGAGCAGTGTGTGGCACGACAAACTGCACAGTTTCTTTTATGTCTCCAAGGAAGAGTATGAGGTTTCACACAGGAATCAGCTGGTTGATTGCCACAAATATTTCCGTTAAACTTTTCAAAGCCTTCAGCACTGCTTACTGGGGAACAGAAAAAAGAATCTTGGTTTAGAGGAAGCAACAAGAAGTGATGTTTAGCAACAAACGCGACCAAACATTCCAAGCACCCTGTAAATTCGACTGTGGGTTATCAGTTGAGTGAATTACAGCATATAACCACTACTGCTCTGTAAATCATGCTTATCTGATGGCTTGTGAAAACTTGCTCTGTTTCTACCAAGGAAGCCAGATTTCAAGGAATCCCGAATCTTCATCAGCGTTGCTCAGGTACAAGTGAATTCACCTGCGTGCTGGACACATTCCACTAAGTCTTACTTCCACAAATAGCCACTTGCTTAACTTTAAGCACAGAGTAAACCAATTGTGTTTGCTGAGATTACTGATATAAGTAGCTCCATAGCAGTGTCAGTTTGGGGCCAACAGCCACACACAGTAGAACTGTACATCCTTACTCTGGCACGCTCTCAGCAGCAACTTAAGGCTTTATCTGAGGATTTACTCCATCACTACCACTTCTATCCCTTCGCCAAATAATTAGTATTTTTTAAAAAAATTAACTGTATAATGATTTGATTCTCACATCAGCATTTTTTTTGTTTCTTTTTCTTTGCCTTGAATTCCTTAAAAAGTATGATGTTTTCAATGCAGAAGTCACGCTCCTTACTCCAAAGTGCTTACAATCAAAACAAACACACAGAAAAATAACAGGAAGAAAATATTCTTTCCTGACTAGGAATGCAACACGGTTCTTGACTTGTACATTGGTAAAATGACAGGCAGTAATCTTTCAGCACTAAGTAGTAAAATGTTTTATAAATCTCTTCCCCATCCCCAACAAGATCAAATTGGAGCTCAATAACAGACCCTTTTGCAGCCTTGTGATGCTATACTCATAAAAAGTAGTTTTTGATCAAAAAATAGTCCAAGCAGTTTAAGCAGAATTCAGTGGACCTGTATTCTGGTGGCAGATTAATCTATTTTTTCATCTATTTCCAATTTGTTCCCTCAAAAGTGCTTCCCACAGCTTGCCTTCCCTGCCACTCCCACCCTTTTCAATTACTGTCTCTGCCTTCATTAATTGAATGGGCTAATACTGGGTATTTGTTGTCTGAATGAAAATCCGGAATAGCAATGAGACAATTTGTGGGGTTGCCAGATGTTTACAAGGGAAAAAAAAAGATTCTGAACTCAGTTTCTTTCTCTATATCACTGCATTTATGTGTTCCATAGCGGAGACAATTTCTTGGTAACTTGGTTTCCTGATGTGATACCCTCAGGTACCCTTAGCTTTCACTTTGAGCAAAAATAACAACCTTGGGAGGCACAACTTTTCTGACAATGAAAAAAAAAAAACAAAAACCAACTGACAAAGACACTAGCAAAATAGAATGAGTATTATATTCAGTAATTTTCATTAGCACAAACTAAAAGTGCAGATACACTAATTGTGAAAAAGTGTGTTTAAAATAAAACATCCAGAAGGCTATTGCTCTATTGTATAGACCAATAATTCAGAAGTCCAGTAGCTGTATAATTTAAATCAAAAGTCCAAAGAATATTTTTGCCTAGAAGAAAGCTACAAATCTCAGGTCTTTATCCATTTTGCGTTGGATAAAACCCAACATGACAATTGAGATAGGAAAGTTTTGCTTCCAAGCCTCTAAAAGATGCCAGCAACGGTTCCCCAAAATGAAGAAATACTTCAATAAAGTTCTTTTTTTGTTGGGAGCAGAAATACAAATTCACCATCACAGTGCATGTGCAGACTTACCACATGCTGCAAATTGCCACTAACTGAGAAAAAAAGATAGGTGAAGAGCAGGAAACCACGTGCTGCAACTGTACTGTGTACCTTTAGGGGTCTTTAGCGGATTCTTCAGGTGTCTTCTCCTCCTCAGAAACTGAAAATGGAGACAAAACACCAGTGAAAAACATTGGAAACAACTTATTCAATGAAAAATAGTCAAGTAAGTTGTTTCCTTTAGTCCAAAGGATCCTTTGGACTAAAGGGATACAATTTACAAAGTCATATTAGGTATACAGACACTTTTTCTTTTAGCTTTTTAATTCTAGTTTTAAAAGAGTTTAGAGGCCAAAATTCTAAACTCCTTTGAAAATCTCCACAGTGATGATTCTAATACACATTTTTCTTTGCATTCAGTTACATCATTCAACTTCAATAGCAATAATATAAGATTGTTTACTGCTCCATCGAAACACTGCAAGGTTTATTAATACCACACGAGCTATATTTTTATTTACACCCACGTAATTTTAGAAAATTCCATCTTTCAAATTAAGTCAGATGCTGAAAAAAATGTGTTACAGGCAGCACAAGGAGAATTTCTTGTTCTTAATGAAGTTCACATCTAGCCACTTACTTAGCAGGGCACTGAGCTCAACACACCACCATGATCCAACTTAGTAACAACCTATTCCTACTGCACAGCACATAGTTTCAAAACTAGATTTTCTGCTAACACTACGATGCCAAACACAGCCAGCACGGGCAGCCACGTTGCACCACTTGAGCTCTGCATGCTCTTGCAGCCAGTTCAGTGCACACAGCCATCAGCTTTTCAGGGACAAGGCATTTCAGACCCAGCTGTACTCTTGCACCTTCTGCAGTTTGCCACGACTCCTCAGCATCAGCGTCCTGGCTCTCGGAGGCTGTGTCAGAAAGCTCTTGAGCTGCTGAGGCTACTCCTTCCTTGCCACTGTCTAAGTTTTCCTCAAGGGCAGAAGAAGCTGCAACATCCAAGACTTCACTCACAGATTCTATGAATCAAATTAGAGAGATAATTGTCTTCTCTTTCCATTCACCACAGTAAATGAGGGTGAGTAGTCAGGGCTCACTAAGCATGAAGTACCTGCCTAACATACATGCTCGAAGTAACTGAAGACAACAGGATCTATCAGATAATTAAATTCTATCATGCAAATAAGACTTTGCAAGTGGAATTCCAGGAAAAGTCTAACTCTTTCCAGCACTGGGGCAGAGAACTATAAACCTGAGCTATTTTCATGTATTAAGACATAGACAAGTATCCTCTAACATCTATATTCTCTCTTGCAGATACTGTTGGGTTCTTTTTTTTTTTGATTGCTGTCAAAATGATGTGCAAGAGGCTAATGGTAAAGTTTCCATGGAGATATAATCCTGGTCGGATCAGAACCATAGGACATTACATATACGCTCCACAGAACCATGGGTAGTTTTAATGTAGAAATATCCTAACATCAGGCTGAAGGTTCAGGCTGCAATTCCATGGTTGCCAACTACCCGTTTCTTAATCCTCCTTTAAGCATAAAGCAATTTGGATGCATAAAAAAGACTGTAATAGGTAATATATCTCTTTGTAGATACCCTCTGCAGGGAGAGTGAACACATCACCCAGCAGTTGTATGTTAAATTTTACTTGAGTAAGTTCTCCCCGCTCTTCTAACATTCCTGTCAGAGGCCTCCAACATCACACACTTCAACTGGTCGGTGGGATAAGGTTTGCAAAGACTTTCTTGTTACATCCCATACTAAGCTACACGTCTGTTAAATACAGCTAACTAAACAGCTTCATCAGAAGTTCAATAAATGGACTAAACAGGAGTTTTATAGAGCTAGCATCCCATGCCTTTTTCCAAATATTACCTTGCAGCTAGTTAAATACAGCGTATTCTGAATATCAGCTATTTCACTTTACAGAATACTGGCTGCATTTTGAAGAAGCAACAGAAAAAGAAATATTCAGGAATTGCTACCTTTGTCTTTATGGGAAACAGCCATGCAATGAAAGTAGTATATCTGAAATGTGGAACTTTAGATATTTTACAGCAAGCAATGCTTGATGTAATGCCATATATCTGCTATGGTAAAAAGCTGGTGGGTTTGAGTAACATCAAACTTTCAGTTTATATTACCAAAAACTCACTCTCTGACTGATAGTATTTCATTTTTTTCTCATAAGTGTTTTTATTTCTTTTGCACTGAGAAGAGTAGATCAGGAAGGAAGTAGAGGGAGCGACATGGTCTCTCCTGCTTTTTAATAAAACTTCATTTCCTTTGGATGGGAATTGTGTTTATTTGTCACCTATAGGAATACCTGCCTTGAAACCTAACATTAACACTTATACCACTTGTACTGAAGAATTTGTCTCTGGTCTGAATTGCTCATTATAGTAATCAGAGAGGCAATCTACTGCAACAAAATAGGGATTCCTCCCAATGTGTCCATCCAGGTCTTTGTGGAATGGCTGTCATTCCCTAAAATACAAAGGAACTTGTTGGGACAGGCATTGCACTTTGAAAACCCGTGTCTGTAGTATGAGTGTATAATGTTTATGTAAGAAATTGTCCTTGCTTAGTGCAGAAATCTCCAGATGGTACTTTTTTTTTATTCAAGTGGCTTTCCCATCCGTTCCTGGAGAACGTGTGGCCAGAGTTCTGTAGGAGCCACCTTCCTGGTGCCACAGTTGAAGGGTTCTTGTGGAGAAGAGAAAGAGGGCAGTAGCTGGTGGTCCAAGTGCAAGTGCTCATGGCAGCACCACACAGGGCAGCTTGCACTGGGTCGTAATCCATGCCTTAAGGCATTATCTCCAGCAAAGACTCACACTGGCCAACAAAGACCATTTTGGCATCAGTTCTTTGTCCTATTGCTATTACAGCCAGCTATCCAAGTGTCTCCTGGTGCTTTGGGCACCGTGGGATTACGAAGCAGTCTATAACCTCATGAAGGCTATCCTGAGCATTCATTCGACACCAAAACAAACCTCAGCATATTTTTGGTGATCCGTACACGTCTTGGAACAAATGCTCTGTATCCCATTCACAAGGCCAACATGTTTTTCTCTGTCCAAGGGAATTGCTGTGATCCCAGGGTAACACCAGAAGAATGATGAACTGGCGAGCTCAGAATGAGTCCCCTGCCTATTTCAGATTTGGGATTGCCACATGGGCTCTTCTACGTGAGGAATATCAGGCATCCTGCCCAAGTCCTTTGCATCTTCTCTTACTGACCACTGGTAGCACAAAGCTTTACAAAGCTTAGAAATCTCTCCTCTTTGTTTCCCTAGATATTAAATTTAACCTAAGTGCTATTTCACACTCTTTCTCTCTCTCTCTTTTTTTTTTTAAAGCTGCATGCATTTCATTTTTTTTCAATCCAATTTAATCTCTCGCAGTTGTTCCATGTAAAATCCTGCAGTAAGACCCTATTTCATACAAGATACTTTAATCTATGCCTGATACAATGATGACTCATCTTCCATAATCCTTGGACGAAGGATTTTACTCTTCTGTTTGTTCAATTACCGCAAAGTTGTTAATAAGCCTGTCATGAAGCTCTCCAGCAATTAACAGATGTAACCGAAATCACTTCTATCCTTGGATAGTTCAAATACTAAAAATTTAAGCTTCTCTATTTTTTCAAAATAGTCGTAGAGGAGTTATAGCACCTTAACTAGTTCTGTGTCGTTTCCTGAATGATGAATGGAAATCTGAAGTCCCTGTATTTCCTTGTGCAGTGATAACTGCAACCCATTCTGTCCATTTATGCCAGCTTTTTTACGATTTCTACAGGGTGTAACTAAACAAAATAATCTGCCCTGTGCAACTGCTTCTCTACCATGAGGACACGTGGTATTTGAGTCCTATTCATATTACACTTTCCACTGAATACCCTAGGTGCTTTATTATCCATGTAGCACAATACCACTTCAGCTCCTAAACACCTTCAGCAAAACACCCACCTGCAGCATTCCTGTCAAATGGGTCTCAGTCAAGTGATGATTTCACCCTGACTCATACGATTTAAAACCTGCCATAAAAGGGAATGTTCTTGGGTTTTAGTTTCCTCTTATATTCACAAAAGTGGTGTTCATTGGGCTTTTTCTTGATTCTGCAGGGGGAAGTCCCACACGCACACATAATAATTTATTGATAGCACTGGAGTTAAATGGCCTCATAATTTTCCTGTTTCACAGAGGTTTTGGGGTGTTGTGTTTCCTCCCCCATCTTAGTAGGATATGTTACTCTACAGAAGGTATACAGAAGGTATACTTCACAGTTTCATACAAGTTATTATATTGGCAGCAAAATTCTCAGCCTCTGTGTATAATATTAGCCACTTTTTCTGAAAATTGGATTTTTTTTTCTCTTATGCTTCTTCACCAGGCATTTGTTGATTTTAAGTTTTCCCCTGGGATAAGTAGCTACATCCCAGTATCACTGGCTACAGCTTTCTTCAAGTTTGCTAGGCATTTGTAGCACTTACAGATCTGAATTAGGAGCTTAACTTCCTTGTGATTTCAGCAAATGACAACATAAAGGAACTTCAAGCCTCAGAGAAATCAAACTAATCATGTTTACTAACTCTAGGCAAGGGGTTAGGCTTTGCATATTGCATCAACAGCTGTTGCCAAAGCATTCAAAGGGATTTGAACATACCAAGGATTTTGAGGACAAACATCCTCAAGGCTAGTTAGAGCCCCAGCACATATCCACTGTGAAGCCATCTGTGTAACATCCGCTGCTTACATGTAACAGGGAACCCTCACCAAAACACCACCTGCTTTCTGCCCAGGACAGCTACAGGCACCCCCAAGTGGTCTTTAGCTCCTCTGCTTCAGGAGATAACCATTTGGAGAAGAAATACACCCTTCCAAATTGCACATGCAGGAAGAGAACATGACTGGGCAACTACCAGGAGCACATTACACGTGCACCAAACGCAATACAAAACCACTTCTGTTGTGAAAACATGTCTGGTTCAAGTTGAGTAAATAAAGAGAAGGAAATTGATTTTATAGACAAAAGGAAATTGTGGTTTTGTTTTGAAAGCTTGTGTTTGGATGGTTTTTTTTAAATAAGTCAGCAGCATTAGACAGCTCCAGTAGCTTATTAGCACAATATCCAAAACCAGTTCCACTTAGAAATGCAATTTTTAGGAAACTACCCCTATCATTTCAGTGGAAAAAACAAGAAACACCAAAACTGCTTCCTGCAGTACTTATTCCTGCAGTCTTTAAAGACAATTTCTACTCTCACAAATGCTACAGTTGCAGCCCTGAGAGCGAGCGCAGGACTGTACATTCTGGTGCATTCGCAGCAGAACAGAAAACAGTCCAAATCCAGGGTGATTCTGCATCCTCATGATGGTCAATTGAATTGTGTGATTATTAGTGAGCTCAGCATTCCTCCAGCAGAACAGAGAGGCAACATAAGCGGGGACTTGTGTGCCCTGTGTGACTGACTCATCTTTGCTCCAGCTGGTAATAAAAAATAACACACACAGATTGACTTTCTCCTGCCAATAATAAAGAAAACCACACACATATGAACTGACTTCCAGAGGACAGATCCTACTGCTTGCATAGTGCCTTCCCCCCAAAGCTTTCCAGCCTTTAAAACAAGCTTTGCAACTTTCCTGGGGGAGTTTTTATGCAGAATCAGCCTGGATTTTTGTCTGGGACACAAAGCTCCAGTGCAAAATTAAGCTAGCTCACACTGGCAGTCATGTCCTACCCCCTGGTAAACAACATGCTATAGGATGACCTTGAAGCAGGGAGGTGGAAGGGGTGTATGGAGAGAATCCACTTGGCACTGATGACGATAAGTGGGATCTGAAACCTACCACGAACTTGGTTCTTGCAAGAATTTTTGTAGAAGATGTTCCTGATAGCATTTCTACAGGGCAGATACTGTCAGGCTTTAGTGTTCAGTGTTCACAAAGCTGGATTTTCCAAGCTGTGCCTCATCCCATACACCCCACGTGAAAGCTAACAAAGCCAGCTACCAGTGCCCCAACACATACATCAGCATGGACCACACTTCCTGAAGAAAGGGACAGGACACATGAGATTAGGGAGAAGAGGAAACAAATAGTTGACTTCTCTGCTTACTCTACACATGTACAGTTATGTCAGCAGTGCCAAGAGGAGCGAGCAGATGAGTCCAGAGGGAGGAGTTCTGGCCCTCTGTCTAACCAAGCTTGGACTACTCTGGGAGCAAGGTACCTTCCCTTTGTTACAACACTGAGGTTTCTTGAGTTCCAATTTAAGCTACTGCTTTAAAGCTTAGAGCAGCCCTTCAAAAAAAAAAAACCCAGCCATGTTAATGTGAGGGTCAAGTCTTTCCACTTCCACTGAAGTAGCAGCTAGCCCCCAACCAACAAGCAAAGCTTATTTTACATACAGAAAGAAATGAATTTTTAATATCTATTGATACCAAATTGTAGATGAGTGATACAAATAGCCTGCAGGCCCATTAAAACTAACTTTAAATCTTACTGGATTTTAAGCTTTTACCCTGTATTTTTAAGTGGCTTTGTAAGCATAAGTTTTCCTTATTTAAGATACAGATGGAAAAATTGCTGTTTGCGGTTCCAGATTTTAAAATGAAAGATACATTCAATTTTTTCCTTGCTTGGGGAGAGGTGGGGATTCCCTCCTGTGGGACAGAAGTTTCATAATGAGACCACACAAGATAACCACACCTTTCTCAGTACAGTCTGTATTTTTTCCCCTCAGTTTTGCATTTCCCTACCAATATATTTAAAACTATCATATTTTGATTCTAATCCTAATCATTTGATTCATTGAAAAGTGATGGTTCCAGTTAGAAACAATAGCAAAAATATTTGAACAGGCACCGGTTTCCTGCAATTTTTAAAGATATCTAAAAATATGCTTCTCCAAGTGAAGCATTTAACTTAAAACAGTATCCTTCATATCGTGATTTTTTTTTTTCCTAAGCAGTCAAGATGAAGCTGGTATCTGAAATGCACAACACCGGGTCCAATTACTTTAAAAAATATTCCTTGCAGAAGAATTTGGCTTTATAAAGCTGAAATAATACAAGCTAGCCAGCATAATACAAATGGAATCCGCCTGGAGCGCACAAACCAAAGCTGGAGCACAAAACAAGGCTTTGATATTTCAAGCTGCCTATAACATAACCAGTGTCACACACCAATTCCAAAGGGGAGGAGGGGGAAGGAGGGAAGTCAAATTTAATTGTGAAAACAGAAATATTTTATTTACGGTCTTTTTAGAGACCCACTTACACCAAAATGTGATGCTTTTGTTTACATAAAGCTTCCTCAGTCAGGTCCACTGAGGGTCTTGGGATGTCCTCTGAAATGTTAGGATAGGCAGAGCAAAATATTCCCAGTTCCTTTTCGTAGGTTAAAGACCTGCTTTTGGAAAACTGGCAGTGGAGTAGAATTGACTTTTAAAAAGTCAAATTCTGCCATGTTTGAAAAGTAATTCAAGAATGTATTTGTGAGAAGCTGCAAAACAGAGCACAGGAAAAGGGGGGACTCGGTGCCTTCAAATTTAACCCAGGGGAGAAGACAGCAGTAGCAGAAAGAAACTGCGATTCCCTTTAAGAACAACTTCACATATTTTGGTTCCACCATCAGCTTTAGGGAAAATGGAAAGAAGTTCATTCAACAATGGCTTTTGTTCCAAATCCTGAGGTGGTGGTGACAGCTAAGGTCCCCTTCCATCCTTTCATCAGAAGCCACCTGCCACCCCAGACACAGCTGACTTGGGTTGAGCACCTCCTCCCTCTGTTCTTGGGGGCTCAAACCACCATCAGCCACATCAGCAAGAGGAACAGGGGGAAATCATCACCACCAAGGCAGCTTGGGACAAAATAGGCCAGACTGTGCATCTGTCCCTCGAACAGGACCAAGTGCTTCAGGTGTCACTGGCCAGGAAGATACAGGGAGCTCAGCATGGAGGGCTTGCAGATACCCATCAGGAATATCCCGCGCACCAGGAATGTCACTCAGGACCACCTGAAATGCTCTCTCTCTCTCTGCTCATTGGCATTTTATTCAGTGAACACTTAGGATTCTAAACAGCTAGACCAAGTTATCCAAGTTTACTCTTCGGAAAGAAAAAAAAAAACACTTAACACCTAAACATTGGGCTTAAAAGGCAAAAAATGTACTGGGTGGTTAACCACAGACCAACGCCTCCTGCGAGGCGCTGTGAAATCAGCACTTGGGCTTCACACAGGGAAAAAATAAACCTCTCAGTTCTACATGCTAAACAGAGTCAAGGAAATAACAATTATTTAGAGAAGCACTGATTATTTTTCAGTCTGATCAGTTCCTCGGATGCACAGGACAGGAACTAGTGGCTGGCAGCTGCTGAAGCCCATATAGTGCCAAGATATTTTTTGTGGAACTGCCCTGGCCTGATCATGCTGTTGTTTGGACACAGCATGAAGGCAGCCCCAACCTTCCTGACCTTCCTACTTTGCAGTACCTTGCTAGAGCCCATGGGCATCAGGAGTTTTCTCCCCTTGGCATTTCAGTTATTCCATAGGATAAACCCTAACCAGAGGTTCAGAGCCCAAGGTCTTTGGGAAACTGAAGAACAGAGGAAGGCTGGCATTTCTGATAATCCTGCCACTATAAAAATCTGACATCTTTCCCTTTTTGCAATCCCATCCATAAGTAATCCAGATAAAAACCCACGAGGTCCAGCTGAGAGCCTAAACCATGGCGTTGTGAAGCACATTATTATGAATAAAAATTTTCTTCACTCCATACAGAAAGAAGAGAAAAAAGTTCAATCAGCCAAACACGTCACAGGTTGTTTGCGCCTGATGTAGGTCACTAGTCCTCAAGAAAAGCCTCATTAGTTCATACTAATGACCAGAAGACTCACTTCACGAGAGCTCATTCTACAATGGCTGAAAAATGAAACGGATTTTAAAAAGATTCAGAGAAGCCTGTAATGGTCAGAATAAAAGCATAACAGTGCATGTCACATTAATCCAGAATAGTTTACAGTACCTCATATAATTTCAAGTATATTGTTTTATATTCTGTAACGTGGATTTGTAGCAATGAGAAGCAACTCACATTGTGTTTGTTCATTTGCTTTAAACGTAGAATCATGTCTAGTCACTGATTGGAATAGATCAGGAGGAAAACTAGTGCAAGTTAATATAATCAGCATATATGAAAATGCACTAATAATTTGATGTATTAAATCCTCCAGAAGGTTCTAAAAACCCTCCTAATTAAGTTAGATGTTTTCTTGAACATTCCCCATACAAAGTAATGCACCAAGTTTTACCCACTTAGTTTTCAAGGGAGCAAAGTTAAGCATGTTGTTTTTTGAAAAGGATGTTTTTCTCTGCAACGAGAAACATTGCCCAAAAATTAACACCAAACCATTGTGGTTTGAACTGTCACCACAAAAGAGCAGAAAGGAGTCCCTGTTGCCATTTTTTCTCTAAAGCAGGACACTAATAGTATTCCTGTGGGTGCTGTATTTATAGGGAATTTTCAAACACAGGTAATACTACTTAAGGTAAAGTAAATGCTAACAGTTTTTGTTGTCCAAAGTGAGTTCTTGCTTTCCAATTTATATACATACAGTTATTTCGGGATTCTTTTTAAGTCTTGAGAATGAGCTATAAATGTTAGTAAAAGCAGTAAGTCTACTTTCCCCTTAATAGTGGCAATCATTTAGGCATTATTCACTGTATGTGTTTTTACCAGCTTTAATCTTTTCTTGAGAAGTTACTTGCCTCATTGCTCTACAATAGACAAATAGGAAGACAGTTATTTTAGTAGTTCTCCCCCATTTATTTGTTTGCACTCCTAGCTGGGAAGCTCTAGGGGTTTTTCCCTTTTACCAAAATCTGCCTCCTCCAAAGCATGCTGTAAAATTCTCTTTTCAGCTAAGCTGCTCAAAAATGAACAGTCTCTCCATTTACCAACTTAGGTCTTCAGATGCTCACAACTTTTACAGAAGTCTTTTCTAAATATTGTTCACTTTCTTCCAACAGGGATTTTCCAGTTATCCTATGATGACGCATCTACAAGCTCGGTTTTATGAAGGAAAAACAGGAGGAAGAGAGAAGAGACTAGTGGCCAGTGTATGGCAATCAGAGAGATAAAAGGTAAGTGCAGCAGTCCAAGAGACAGATAAAGAAAGTGATAAAATGTGAAACAGAAATACCCAACGGAAGTTCCACAGATACGGATGCTTCCCCAGTAGGATAATATTCACATAATTCAAATTTCTAGAGCCTAATTTAGCTAGATTAATCTACCACACTCAATGAAGAGGAAAACAATCCTCATTTCTCCATCTCACACAAACAAATGCCTGGAAGGATATGTCTGTTTTACTGAGCAATGCCATTCTGAAAGCCTTTGAATATGAGCAATTGCAAATAACTCTGAGGACTCTTTGGCCATTTTCGAAGTACTTCCAGTGTCAGCACACCCAGAATTTGGTAACTTACCAAGCAAAAACAATGTGCACTGATCATGCCAGGGTTTTTTTTGTCTGCTTGGCATCGCTGTGTGATTGGGTCAGCGAAAAGTCCTGTCCTGAAAGCAGCAACTCTTGTCCAGAGCAGCCTATATTTGTTTCTCTAGGCTGCAGACAACTGGCATTGTAATGCCATTTGAAGCCTGACATGGAAAGCACTGGCACATTCACACACTAATCCTCCCCAAACCTAGTCACTCACCCAAATGGTATTTGAAATAACAAACAGAGAAGAGACCATTTTCTTTTTGAAAATTAGAAAAGAACCTATGCTACAGAAGTCAGGAGTCCCAGCAATTGGGGCTAATTGCTTTTGTTATTCCAGTTGATAATGCCAAAACTTCAAGCCTCAATACCAGAGTTGGAGAAAAGTTTATAGTGGTAATACAAAAACTAGAAGTCACAACCCTGTCTAATCCAAATAGCAGCTGGCCAAACTGTGCATTTTATAGCATTTTTCTATATAAAGAAAAAATTATCTTAATTTACGGTCCCCAGACACAGAGTACACAGAAGGAGAACAGCAGGAACTTAACCAGCATCAGGCAGTGACCAAGAATGGCAGCTCAAGCAATAAAAAGAGAAAGAAAGTTAGAAATTAGAGGAAACTAAAACTTTGGGAACAGAGTAACACAGCACAGTACTTTTTTTGGCTACAGTATTTCACAGAATTCCAGATACCAGCAGAGGATTGTAAATTGTTTAAACTGAGGTGAGGAGAAAATTCCGGGCCGGTACAATTGTAATTAACTCTCTGGAACAGAAATTACCCCAATTAAGTATTAAGCATCTACCTCCAAGGTTGGGTTGGGAGGTTTCTCTGTTTGTTTGTTTGATATTTGTTTTGGTTTGGGTGGCATTTTTTTGCACATCCATGGTATCTGTATACATACCAGAGGTATATACAGAGGTATGTGTACTGGAGCTGGAGACAAGTGTCCATTGGCACCCTGCACTTCCAAACATTACAGAAAGTTTTATAAACTAAAAGAAACAATTACATTTGAAAAAGCAGAGGTTTGCTGGTAACGGTAAAAATACTTGCACCTTCACCTGCAGAAGTAACATTAAGCTGCCAACAAAACCAATAAAAGTTACTTAAATATTTTTTTCAAAAGCTCTGAAAGAAAAGTCCTTCTCTACCTCAGTAAAAGTGGAGATAGACATTTTTTTCCCTCTAAATGAAGATAATACAAATGATAAAGATGGTTGAATACAAAACTGAAAGGCACCACCTCCAAAAGGATTTTAATTAGGAATATAAATTTTTTTTTTAAAACAGAATAGCTGTTGTCTGCAAGTAGGCACTGAGCAAAATGGTACAGAGAGTGCAGAGAACTTTTGAAACAAAACCCCCATCTTCTTGTAAGTCTGATGCCAATGAAAACTAGTTTTTAGACAGCTTAAAGGAAAGGGATACCGGTTTCAGACCACGTGCTGCTTGTGGCCTTCCTTCCACGGCCAGAACTCCTTGGAAGAACTGCTCCAGGGTCTGTTCTCCTGCAGGCAAGGCCGGGACGAAGGGAGCAGCGAGTCCTAAGGCGGCCTGGCAGCTGGAGCCTCTCCAGCCTCCCAGGGCAGGACTCCGGTTACACAGCGCTCACAGGGAGCCCCGGGGATGTGACCTCGTGTGAACCCCTGACAAGGTCCTCAGGGCTCACCCTTGGCTGGAGACACCTGTCACCAGCAGCTATTTACAGCAATCCTCACTGGTGACCAGTGGCACAAGGGAGCTGTGCTCAGGAGCAGGTTTTAATGCCCCAGGAACACCGACGACATCAGGCAATGCTATAATGGGGAGAATGCTCCCTTGCTTCAGTTTCTCGATGGTTTTATATCCCACAGGTTTGTTTCTGCCAGCTTTACCACACAGCAAAGAATCACCACTGCAGCAAGGTTTGACAGAGGACACCTGAGATGACCCTCAGACTCCCCTGTAAATCTCAGCATGACAGAAGTGTGGTTCTAGTGCTGTTTTCCTCAGTATGTTGCCAGAGAAAATAGATCTAAGAAATCAGTAAGTTCTAAATAGCTCCTGCACTTCCAGACAACACCAGTAACTAACAGCTACGAGACATATTTCTTCTTGTCAAATAGTGATCAGTAAGGACATGAAATCACTGTGTCCAGAATGGGATCCTCAGACTTAATCACAGAATCATCACAGAATGGTTTGGGTTGGAAGGGACCTTAAAGACCATCTTGTTCCAACTCCTCTGCCATAACCTTCTCTTCCACTAGACCAGGTTGCTCAAAGCCCCTGTCAGCCTGGCCTTGAACACTTCCAGGGATGAGGCATCCACAACTTCTCTGGGCAACCTCACCAGAGCCTCAACACCCTCACAGGAAAGAATTTCCTCTCAAGGTCTAATCAACTTATGCACGATGTTTCTTGGGGAAGATCCTACAGCTGCTTCCTCTTCAATAAAATGGCAGAAATACTCACCATACAGAAGATCCCACCCTATCCAACAATGAACAGTTATTCCTAGATAAGCACTGTGAAAGGAATACACGACTACTTCCAAATACAAGGAAGTGCTTACGAAACTAAAGTGAAATTTTGCAATTGCTCTGTAGAGCAGGTAAACACTGCAAGACATTTTAAAACACACCTCTTAGAACAGCTCTAATTCACTAACTTTAACATATACCAGACTGCTTCTTTTCTAAATGAAATGGTCTAAATATTCCACAGAAATGGAAATTTTTAAGGTTCTAGATATTTTAATATTTAGACATATATATAATATCTTTAGATATATATATCTTATATATATAATAGATTTATATATATTTTATATATATATCTCTAGATACTATAAATATTTTTATATGTAAGCAGTGATAATCACTACCAAGATACTTACTTCTGCTTTCTACCGGCTGTATCACTTATAACAGATCAGACTGAGTATTGTTTTTAAATGTTGTTTGCACTGGATTGTTTTATGGACAAGCACAGGAGCTATTCACACTTGAATTAAAATCCCATTCGTACCTAGACCTTTCACAAAGGCATTGGAAGTGCTGCACCACTTCTCAAGTCCATTTGTTAAAAAGGCAGTCAAGATGCATCCATCCCTCACTGGAGTCACCGAGGAAAAAGGCAACAATAATTCCAGAATCTGCTAACACCTTTCCAGGTACTGTGACAACCTACCACGGACCAGTGGACAAAATACATTTAATCTCAGTTTGACCTGTGTTTTAGATAGAACCTCTCAAGGTTAGTAGTAAAAAAAAAAATAAATAAAAAATTTTAAAAGGAGTGCTAAAAAACCCCCAAGCAAATTAAATTATAATCCTGTATTTTGTGCAAATTACGGATAGGTTTGCATTTGCATTATTGTAATTTTTTTAAAGGCATAGTAAACCAAAATATTTCAAACACCCTAACAGTTCAAAATACTGAATATGTTGCCATCGATCAATTTTAGTGTTTAACCCCAATCTGATGTTTTATTGTATCTGATGTATTATTGTATTCATTTGAAATCTGAAATTTAGTTGAAATTTTAACCTAGTATATCCTTAAAACTGAGACCATGACAGCATTTTTGTCGCTATGCAAGATTCTGTTGACGTTACATTGATACAGATATAATTATTTAGTATGATTATCTTTGGAAAGGCCAGTGAAATAAAGTATTTAGATTCCTTAACAAACCCTTAAGAACTAGGTCCCTAAAACAACTGTTTAACTGATCATATTACATGCTTAACTTAATAAAAGATCTTAAGAAAGAGAAATAGGATGGGGTAGTAAAATAAAGGTTCCATTCTACTTGTTTTAGACAGTAACTCTGGTGCCAGAGGCAGGACGCTTTCAGAGACACTGATTTAATAACCTTAATTACTTTATGCTCATGATATATGTCAAGTTAACACCTGAATTAGTTTTCACTGCAGGACAAACTCTATTAGGAACACTGATGCTTGTTCTTAATGTTCTGTAAGAGGCACGACACAACACACTCAAAAACCACATTCATAAGTTAACCTTGCACTGCAGCAGCTTCTGAATTAGCAGCAACTTCCGAATTAGCAGCAGCTTCTGAATTAGCAGCAGCTTCTGAATTAGCAGTAGCTTCCTGCTGTGCTTCCTCCACAGCAGGGGATGCCTCTGGAGCCGGTAAGTCATTCTCCCCTCCAGCTTCTGGGGACTCCCCAGAGCTCTCATCCTGTGCTGCAGGTCCAGCACTCTCATCCTGTGCTGCAGGTCCAGCAGTGTCTGCTGCATCAGCCTCTTCCGTGGCTTTCTCTGCTTCAGTGACTTCATCCGTCTCTTCATCACCTTCTAGGGATTTATTTAATACAATAAAGAGAGTAAAGTGCATGCATGCAACAACAATTTCATCAACTACTTTTTACCACCATCCTCGTTTAAATTTAAAATGGGAAGCTAAGCTTTGGGATCAGAATAAAAAAAAACAAAAAAAACAGCAAAAAATCAATAATTAATCCCCCCATATTGTCTCATATGGTACCAAGAAAATGTTTACAAGATGAGGAAACCATATTCTTAATTACCGAGTTTCATAACTGCTTCAGTGGAATAAGAAAAGAAACTGTGGCTTAAAGCAAGTGACTCTAAGAGGTGGGAGTGCAGGGAAGGATAAAAGGGGACTTTGCCAAGTGCTGCTTCAGACCCACCCTGCTGAAAAGGGCCAGTGATGATGCTATCACAGGTGACACAGCGAGCATGACTCTTGCCCTGTTTGCACCCAGCAGTGGAATTAACACACTGGGAATAAGACATTTGCTAACCTACTTGGAAGCTCTTGCAGCTTAGAAGCACTGCAAGCCAAGGTGTGCCTTCAGTTTGCACAGGGCTGTTTTCAAGGTGGCTGACTCGGCTGCCAATAGCTACAGTAACACTGTACCCAAGGAGTTCGCAGTTTTCAGACGGGTTTTGGGCCTTCTCTTAGCCACAGGTACTCTGCAATCCCTGCTGCCTCTGCTTTCTCTAAAGCTATATTGAATGCCCTGTGACCCCTGTGAGAGCCGTAGTGCTCAGATAAGAAAGGCAAGGTCTGCAGGGCTGAATAAAACCCTTATTGAAACTAGGTGTATACAAGTAAGAAAATAACTTGCTACTTTAAAGTGGTCAGGATTCACTTTCTTGAAGATATGACCACTTATGACTATTTTCTCCTTACAAGTCCCAGGTCTCTTTTAAAGACTTGTCTACACCACTGTGGGTCAGGCTCTTTAGAACCTCAAAAAAAACAGTGTTTCCCAGTCATGCATTACTTCAAACTCAGCTGAGACAAGTCATGAAAAACTAACAGCACAAAGCAACAAAGATGCACAACCACCATGCAGACATGCACTAACACCAAGTTAACAAAAGAAAGTTATATATCAAGTGTTCATCTCAAGTTCACCACTAGAACCAACTCACCATGTGAAAAAACAGAACTGGAAATAATGTTTGTAATACAGTGTAAAAACTAAGTGAGAATTGAAACAAAAGAGCTTAAAGAGACATAGTCAGAATTTATGTTATTCTTTTATATCTGTTTAAAAACTAAACAGATCGATTTTATTTCTTGTTTTTCTTATGCTAGTGCAAGCCTACCTTTTTGTGTTCAGATTTAAAGACAAGTCCATTCATTGCTCAGTAAAAAAATCAAAGCTTTACATTATGCAACCTGATCATGTCCCTTTAAGAAAACACTATATTTAAAAAAAAAACCAACCAAACTAAATTCATTACACAAAGAACAGACTAACAGCCAAGCTCAGCATTCAGTACACTTTATTGGACAGTCAAATATAGAGTGCATTCATCCAGAACAGCCAGCTTCTCCATCTCAGAACTGCCTTCTACAAAGCAGGTTCAGTAATAAGCTCAATATGGTTTGGCCTTGCAAACACAGGTAGTTCTTTTAAAGTCTCACAAGTATGGAGTGTTACAATAGAAGGTATAAAGTCATCCCAAGGTAGGCTGCAAGGTACGCAATGGTGAACGACTGTCCTTTGTTTGTATTTAACTTCCTCGGGTTTGGAAAGAGATTTCCCTTGTATTTTAGTCTGGAAAGTGTAAAAGCAGAGTATAGATTAGAAAGATTGAATCAGCTTGCATCATGTTAAAAAGAAAAGTCATAGCTAAAAAGGAAGGAAATCAGGAACAAGTTTAAAGGAGACACACACAAATGGAAGACAAAACCCAGTATTTGCTAAATAAGCAACTAGAACGTCCTGTAAGCCAAACATCATTTTACAGTTCAAATGATGTCCCAGATTTCCTACTGCTACTTCGAGTCTTGCTTCTGCCAGGGGCTTTTTACATCCCACTAAATTTGAGAACAGCTTTCCATTAAAAAGAGCTACAGGAGATTTGCTATCAGATATTTTTTTAAAGTCTGATATCATTAATTAAAATACAATTAAATATATTGCAACCCTCTAACAAACAAACAAGCCCAAAATAGGATTTGATTGTTTCTCTTGTTTTGACAGACTTGTTTGCTATGTACAGTTCTCTGTAATAGGCATTTTGGGTTCAGGCACGAGGGGTGAATCTTCCCCTGGTTAAGAAACCACAAAAATCCTATCAGAAGACTCTCTCTCTGATCACCTGCTCCCCAATATTAAGTTCTTCCACCTAGAAAGTTCTTCAGTTATGATAACACATGCAGCAAATACTCCATGGACGTGCTGTCTGATGTGCTGCTTTTCTGTCTGCCACTTCATATTTTTACCAGCCCCGTTTTAGATCTTATTTTGAGCTTGATTTAATGTGACCCTAAAAAAATACCAGATTACTTTGACAACGGAATTTTCAATTGCTCTTATCAGCAATGCTTCCTGTGAAAAAGTGTAAGGACTGACTCTAAATGCACAGGGAAAGAAGCTGCAGTGGCACTTCTGGGAAAAGCAATACTATGGTAACACTCTATGACAAGATACACACAAAATAAAACTATGCAGGGAATGGGAAAAAACGGGGGAAGAAGAGGGATGTTATCCTTTTTGAGAAAGCACACAGAGGGTTCTGTAGGAAAAGTAAGAACAGAAACCTCTTTAGGGAATACACAGTTGGGAATGAAGAAGGGTTTTTAAAAAGAGCTGATTCAACTGTAGTTTTGTATTGTGAATTGGAGTTAGCTACTCAGAAGTCCAACTAAGAATTCCAGGATAAGCATTTATTCAGAAGTCCAATATTGAAAACAATATAGGAAACAAGTTTCAACTGTGTTCACTGGACGGCCTTAGAAATGTTCTGGACTTCTTATGGACTTCTTCCTATCAATAAAAAGAGAGGCAGCAATCATCTGCCATTGGCTGTGACATTTATGTAAGTTATGAAGCAGCACAAAGCATCAGATTATGGGGCATCTGGAGAGTACCCAAATTCAGAATTAGGTAAGTTGCAGAGCACTGAGTACTCTCTTTACCCCAGCCTTGGGCAACACAGGTACAGCCTTCAGTGGGCCAACAACCCCACTGATCCTGCAGGTATCCCACTCCAACATTTTGGTAGGCTAGGGTTAAAACTCAGTGAACCTTGCAGAAGTGAACCTTAAGAGAAAAGAGGGAACATACTGATATCACTGGGAGTGCACTGGGAGGTTTGCTTAATGCTTCCACATCTACTGTGTTCTTCTGACTGTGGCAGTCAGAATGGAATGAGGGTAACCCTCACTTCTGCCCTGAGCAGGAGGATACAAGGTCAGTGGGAGAAGTTATATCCCTTGGTCCTGGTTATTTTTTACTTTAGGGACAAGGAAGGACTGCATTAAAATCGTGGCTGAATTCTCAGTATTTAAAGAATGGAGTATAAAAACTGTATTGCTTCCAGCTGCTTAAGTAAAAGGAAATTAAGGCGTTTTACCATTTTAAATCTTGAAATCTGTAATTTTAAAGTTCTAAAACTAAAGGATGTGTTGTGGAACTTCAAGGCTAACAATTTCAAAAGAAATAATTATAGAGGCAGACAATTCAAATCATGTTCTCACATTGAAAACAAAATTTAAACTCAGCATACTTTATTCAAATCTATTCTTTGTGTGCATGCAAATATATTAAATCAATTCCCTAGATGTCAGTAACAGAAAAAATAAAGAAGAGCTTCTAGTGCTCTGGCTTCAGTAGCTTATTTAATTTTTTAAAATAACAACTAAATAAAAAGATATAAAGTTCCTTAGGTAATTTTGCTAATTGCTTTTCCTAGCAAGGCCATGTTTGCCAAAGTTCTATCTTTTACATTAACGTCACTGTAACACTAATTGATGTAGACAGAGACAACATTCCATTACAAGTATTTGAACTAACATGGTCTAATTATCCAAGCACGAAGAGCTAAATAAGGATTTGCCATACATTTACGTAGTTCCTGCTTTTCATTTAACCCTAAATCAAAAAGGACAAAATCAAAGGTTCGGGACAAAAAAAAATGGTCCAATTTAGAACATTTAAAAAAATGGTAGAGGCTTTTTTTTCCCTACTGAACTGTGTTCCTTGATGGCCTGTGGCCTGGACCCAACCTGTTGATTGAGAAAAATTTAGTATCTTCTCCTACACCCCAACAAATGAAAGAACAAAACTGATTTTGACAGCATTATGCATCCAGTCAAGTTTCATTAAGCTTCCAGTAAATCAAATACCCACTATATGATTAATGATTCACACATCAACTCTTTCCATCCACAGAGACTCTCACAGGCGGATCAAAGGTCAGATTCATTGCCTTACTCACACCATTCTCAAAATTTGTGCAGCAGTAGCTTTGTAACAGAACAACGCTGCACAACCACCTTTGTTTTGACTCCCACTCACGCGGTTCAGACAAGGACTTGGACAGTGTTAAGGCCTGATCAGACAACCCAAAAATCTGTTCCAGATCCTCATGTACCCAGGGAACAAGAGAGAAGAGCTCAACTCACCCTTCCTTGACCAAGGGTTGCCTTTCCGCCCCTCAGCTCTCTCATGAAGAACATTCACATGGTCAATAAACCTGCTGCGGGATGAACTGACTACTCTGTAGGCCTGAAAGGAAATTACACCTGAACTTATTGCCACATCCCTACAAAGTTACCAAACACAAAGAGAGGAGAGGGAGAGAAGGGTTTTTAAGCAAGTGCTACTGTCTATCTTAAAAGGCATATAAAGTTTATGCTAAGCAAAGTTAAAAAAAAAAAATTAACAGCCTGCTATAAGAATATATTTATGCATTTCATATTTCTCCATTGTTAGAAAGCAAATACAATATACCAGGCACCTTTTGAAGTGCTGCTGTGTTTCAGGAATTGAAAACAGTGTTTTAAAAGGTAATTACAATAAGATTATTATTATTATTATTTTTCTAACGTGGTAAACATGTAACAGCAAGAGAACTTGTTATTCCTCCGGATATGCAATCAAACAAGTTTGGTATTTTGAACAAATAGCTACTTACCATTCAAGAGGATTATTTTGTGGGACAGGGAAATAGGTACCGGGGATGTGCTAATCACTGTCTCAGATCTTGGGGAAGAGGGGTGGATGTAAGCTATAAAATGGAGGATTTAGGGATGTGAAGCACAGAATCTGACTTATTTAGAAGCAGGGAAGAGAATGGTTACTGAAAAGCTTAAGGAAAGCAGATGTTTACAAAACTTTAACACTCTTTTTCAAAGTAACTAATCTTTCTTTCTTTTTGTGCCCAAATTAGCAAGGTTCATAATCTTCCCCTTGCAGCTTCAGACAGCTTCTTTCATATCTGTCTCACCCACTTTGAGATATTCCTAATGTTTGTGGTTGATAAGAAGAGGCAAGGGGTTAGAGGCAGGTGCCTCACTCCAGCTTTGGACACATTCACTTCACACAGTTTTAAATATGCTTTCCACTAAGAATGACCCAGCACTAGTTACCAAAGCAACAGCAAATCAGGCAAGCAATAGGCATTCAGGTTCACTAGTTCTCTAGAGCTGATTTTTCAGTTAGGCTGTACTTAGCTCTACGCCACAATGTCTACGTTCTACTGACGGTTTGAACCTTGATCATGTTCTTTAACCCAGAACACACCTCATAGCATGGCAACTCAGAAAGCACGAGCAGCTCCACCCCAAAACACTTACATAAAATAAACCACTGAAAGCCGCAACACCAGCAAGTAGATAGATAATCATATTCTCTCCGGAAGAGCCGGGAACGCTCCCAGATGACATCTGGCGAAGAGGTGCTATAAAAACCATTAAGTAAATTGATGTAAAATGCTGCTGAAATACGATCACAAAACAGAACGATGGAGTCTGAACACTGCTTGGGAAAGGATGATTCAAAAAGATGTAACAAAAAACAGAGAGGTACAGCTTAGTGACGTTTCCTACAACCGAGCAACACAGGGCATGGTGCCCAGCTGAACGAGGTGTATGGCTGAGATCTTCCTAAGAGTGTGAGTTTTTCTCTGAACTACACTGCCTGCCATCAGCTGCCAAGTACTGGATATAGTCTGTATAGACCAAGGAATGTTAAAAAAAAAAGCAAGTAAAAAAATTCTTGACTATAGTATGTAAAAGAATTAATCTGTCCTTATTTGTTATGATCAGCAGAGTTAACGAATTCTCTTCAGTTTAGTAACAGAGAATTTAAAAAAAGCCTTTTCCTTTGAATTCATGTTCTTTCATTCCCAAACAGACTGCTGACATTTTGACACATAACCTTAACCTCATGAAATGGCCAGCAGGGCAGATAGGTAGGATTACACAATTTTATCCCTGATTGGGTACATATTGCCTCTAACAGCAGTGTTACACGTTTGATTTGTGTCCACTGTTCCTGTAGCTTTGATGCTTGCTACAGTCTTCGATTCATCCGTACATCTCAAAAAGAGACCCATGAAAAACACACGTAACTCTCTTGGTCAACAAAGCTTTCAGGTGAATTTCCTGACTTGATCCCCGATGAGAAACACCTCATCGAAAGAGTGCTCAGGAAAGATAAAATGGTTCCGAGCACTGCAATTGGCGGCTGCAAAAATAGTCACAATCTCAAAACATTGACATGGTGTGCCAGATTATGTTTAGCATCATCTGTCTCATGACACACTTCTCGGACTCCTCTTCGATAGCCAGGCATCCTAATGGATTTCTGTATATTTACATTTTCATTCCGCAGCAGTTTCTCGTTAACCCTCCTCTCCGAGGCTGCCGGCTATAGCAGAAGAGTGCACCGGCGAGCTGCCATCACCCAGCACGGCTGGCAGGGGTTTTTTTGCCATCGGTTACACAACTCCTGATGCGCCAAAAGCCATGGCTGCGGCACGCCGGGTGGATCCCCGCTCCCTCCCCGGGCCGGCAATGCTCTCCCGAGCGATCTGTACCCCGCTATTCCCTGTGCTGGGGGGCGCAAGGGAATGCAGCAGCGACCCTCTCTTGGGTCCCGGGAAGAGGGGAAGGGGGGTCCCGGGCGGGCTCGGCTGCCCAGTGGATCGCCCGGAGCTCCGGGGCAGCCGGTCCCCGGAGCCGGGGGTGCCCGACCAGCCGTGCCGGGCTCCCACCACCCCGCCGCCCCTGCCCCCGGCCCCGCGTCCCCGCCGCCCGCCCGCGACCTTCGCGCGTCCCCTCCGCCCCTGCCCGTCCCGTCCCGCCCCGCCCCGCGCCCCCTCACGCCGTCCCGGTGACCTCCACCCGGGCTCGTACCGCGCTGCTTGAGGCGGCCGGCGGCGGCGGGAGCCCTGCTCAGGCGGAACGCCAGCGCCTGCGAGGCGGCCCTGCACAGGGACATGGTGGCGGCGGCGGCGGGCAGCGGAGCGGGCGCTCGACTGTGCCCGTCGGCGCGGGGCTGCGGAGACGGACAGCGATCCCCGCCCCGCCGAGCCGCGGGGGCGGAACGGGCCGGGCCCCGCCCCGCGCCAACACCTGGACACCGCTCCCGGAGGACGCCGGGGGTGACCGGGACACGGCGGGAAGCGGCAGGAGCCGCTCCGGCAGCAGCGGGAAGCGCCTTCCCGGAACGCAAGGGCAGACAGCCCTGTGCCGAACGCCGCCGTACACGGTGCTGAAACAGACCCAGAATATGAGGGATTGCATTTAGCAAGGAGGGGGAGGACGGTGAGGAACGAACTACTGTTCTACTAAAATAGGGCGTTCACCAAGAACATTCCTTTGCCAACAGTTCCTGGAAGGAAGGGGGGGGGGAATAAAATGGAGAAATCACCTAAATTGACGGCAAAGGGCACTCACGTTAAACACCGGGACACAGGCGTGTTTGCAGTAGAACACCGGAAAGGAAGCGCTGCTGTGGGATCATGGTGACTGTCACAGTCATGGGCGTCTCGGGGGCAGAGCTGTGCAGCTGCTCCTCTCCTCCCTGCACTGTCAGGCAGTTGCCCCCTGTTTCTCATCTACACAGAGCTGTGTTGTTCCCTCTGTGATTATTTAATGCCCTATTGTGCCGACTGCTGCGGTCCCATTTTTGCAGCCTTTGTCCTTGACTGACCTTGATGCACGAAGAGAAGGCAGTGCTCACGCTGGACACTGACAGCGCCTGTGCAGTCTCACTGTGTGAGCACTGTAGGCACCTCTCTAGCATAAGCAATTCCCAAAATGCACACAGGAAAATGCACCTTCTGGCATTTGTACTAGTTGTATTAGGCTTCCCTAATATATCTTCCAGAATAACACAGAGGATTTTAAAAATAAGATCGATTATCTATGAAATGGAAATGCAACATAAAACAACTTCAAGACCAGCAGAATGAAATATTAATGGCAACAAAAGTCCTTGAAAGTTTTTTCTAGGCTTTATAATTTATTTCATATTTATGCACATGAAATGTATGAACATACAAGTAATTACATAACTGTACTCCTGCTGTGCTCACTTATTTGTAGGACAACCGGTGATCATGTTACTTCTTACTGACCACATCATCAACCTAAGGAAGAGGAAAAAAAAATCTTAGCAACAAGAAAAATAGATGTGATGAATATGGTTAGAAACATCTCATAACATCCTATATTTTTATCTGGAGAGAAATGTTTACAGGGAAAAATAACCACAGCACCACAAGTTTTTCCTCTATCTAGTATAAGGAATTTCTTCCATGTGGAATATTAATTGCTCTGAGGCCATAATCCCAAAAAGACTTAGCTGGCAGACAGACACACAGTTTTTTACATTGAAAAGCACAACACCACATACAATCTGCCCTGTAATGCACATTTAAGGGCACTGACTTTACATCATTTTTATGTGTTTCAGCTACTCTGATCTCCTTGCCACTGAGACATTGGAAAGGTGTTCAATTTACAAACTTTATTCACTATAGACGCTGTAAGAGACGTGTCACATGTCCAAGACAGAGCGCCAACAGTGAATATGTGAAAATAAAGATCAGTCACCTTATCGTTTTAAAGCTGGAATGAGTTAGAAGAATAGCAAAAGCCAAGATGTAAAGTATTAAGGAAAATAATAAGGGAAGAATGTCAGTCTGATATCTTGCCTGCTATCAGATGTCAAAGATCTTCAGAATTTCTGTTAAGTCAAAAGCATCTGTATGTGTACACTTACTATGAGCATTCTGTACACTTATGGTGTCCCTCTTTTTGTCTTCTCTCATATTCCATTACATCTTCATTATGCTGCTTGATAAGCTATAAAATAGCAGTATAGGATAAACAGCTATACAATTTCGCAGCTGGATCCAGAGAACAGCAAGACTTCTACAGAATCTAAAATTCCTATTATCGGAACGCAAACCAATATGTAACTGGGACAATACAGAATACATCATCTGTAAATTATCAATTGAAAAACCTGTGGAAAGAATGCCTCATTGGATAAACTGACCAACTGGAGGCGGGGGCTCATACTATCAATCAATTCACCACCCCCAAAAAAGGTGAAAACCCCAAAGGGAATCCACCCCACCCTGACAACACTTTCATTATGGGAGTGCTGCTCATCCTGCACGTTTCTTCCCGAGAGCTACTACACTGTGTCAATGTAACAACATCAAGCCTATTGAGTTCTCTAAAATAGGGAGTATCTTCTGAGCATTTTGCTCAGAAAAAAAGGGGTCTTAATCTATTGAAATCAGCTAATGACCACCTTAATCAGCAGAAAAATGAGAAGAGAATGCATTAGTAGTCTGATAAACACAAGACTATCTGGGCACAACCGTAGTGGGTTTTTGTTTGTTTGTTTGTTTGTGGTTTTGTTTGTTTTTTGTTGGTTTGGTTTGGGGGTTATTGTTGTTGGGGTTTTTTTTAAGATCTATGGGGAAAATAATGTTAAAGCATTAAGCTGGCAGGCTTCAAGAATTAATTCTTCTGTTGTGGCTGTTTTAAGTTTGAAATAGAGAAAAGCTTAATAAGTTGTTTATTTTTATAAAGAAAAGCACAACATGAAGCTGGGAAAACATAAGGGATCAACATAATTATGCTTCAATCTTGACACCCACTATGACCACCCATTACCCCAAACGGTTCAGTAGGTTGCAGTCATTGCGTTTATATCACTACTGTAAATTTTTGGCAATAGTTAAGTTCAGCAAAACCGAATGAAAACACTTACAAAAGCCCACAAGGCAGCAGAGGTGCCAAACGCCAAGCCGACTCCCAGCCAGTTTGGTTGGGCATAATTACGTTTTCTCGCAACAAACGCGGAACGAGTAAAAGCTAAAAAAGGCAGATTACAAATGCGTTAACATAGACCAAGTCATTACTGACACTCGTGCAATCAGGAAAAAAGAACAAATACCAAAATGCCCTTATGAAGTGGTCCCCCATAACATTTGTGGGGGACACACTGCAGCACATGATCCGTGGGAGAGGGGACGGGCCGCTACCAACCACTCAAAGCAGTGCCTTTTGCCCTTTCCCCGGCCACAAACCCCACCTTCCCCGCGTCTTCTGCTCCATAGAGCTGCCTCTTACTCTTCCCTGCCGAAAGCCTCCACCTCCATCCCTTCCTCACCTCTCTCCCCACCTCACCAAGGGCGCCCCGGGCACCGCCTCCCGGAGGAGCGCCGGCACCACCATCGCGGCGGGGCGCGGCGGGCCCTCCCCCGGGAACGAAGGAGGCAGCGATTTCCTAATCAATTGTCTTAACACAGAAATTAGCTTTGATCAAAACCACCAAGGACAGCGAAGCTGCCACCACAGGGATTGCTTTAATCCCGGCCGCGGAGTGGGGCGCACTCCAGCTCCCAGGGCCGCCACCGCTTCCCGCGCTGGCAGCGGAGCCCTCGAGGCGCCGGGCCAGCCCCGGGGCACAGAGCCCTCCGCCTAGCCCCGCAGGACCCCGCTATGCCGCCCCTGCTCACCGAGGCCGGGCGTCGCCGTCACTAACCCCCATACCCTGCCCGCCCTCAGCGCCGCCGCCATCTTGTCGGCCGGGCCCAGCCCCGCCCGCCGAGCGGGGGTGGGACGGGACGACACCGCCCCGCCCCGCCCCGCCTGTGCCCGGGGCGCCGGGGGCCATGAGCTCTGCCAGGCGAGCCCCGGCGGGCCCTGGCAGTCCTCCTCGCCTTTCCCCGCCCGCCCCCGGCGCCGGGCGGTGCCTCCCCGGGCCGAACCGGGCAGGGGGGGCTCGCCCCCACACACCTGCCGGGGCGGGGCGGCCGCAGGGGCGCGGCGCATGCGCGGAGGCGCCGTGACCCGGCTGGGGAAGCGCGGCGGTGCCATTTTGGCGGCGGCACCGCGGCCCGAGCGGGGACCACGTGAGCGCGCCCGGGGCTAGCGCGGCGGGCCCGGCGCTGCACGGCCGGGACGGGCCGGCGAGGGCCGCGAGGGGCCGCGCTCGCGGCCGCGCCCGGGGGGCGGCCAGGCCAGCGGAGGTGAGGCGGCGGTAGCGGCCGCCGCACTCCGGCGGGGAGGCTCCCGGCAGCGGCGGCCGAGCGGCGAGCGGGGACGGGACGCGGGCCCGCCCGCCCACCCGCCTCCCAGGAGCGCCTCGGCGGAGGCGGGAGCGGCGGGGAGGATGCCGTCCGTCAGCCTGCCGCCCAAGGAGAACGCGCTCTTCAAGCGCATCCTGGTGAGTGGCGGGGCGGGAGGCCGCGGGGAGCGGGGGGAGGCCCTGGACCGTGTCCTGGGGCCGGCGGGCAGCGGGGCCCCGGCGACACCACCCCCGGCCTGGCGGGCCCCAGCCCCGGATCCTTCCTGCCCATGGGCCGCGCCGCGTCCCACCCGGGCCGGGGGAGCCGCGATTGCCCTTCCCCACCCCCGTGACCCGCACTCCGGGCTCCCTGAAGTCCCCCCTCGGCCTCTTCATTCATCGCCCGCCGCTGCAGCCGCCGCCCTGCCTGGGCTTGGTTTTCTTTTCTTTTTGTTTGGGTTTTTTTGTTTTTTTTTTTTGTTTTTTTTTGGCTCTCTCTTATAACTCAGATTTTGGTCGGTGGGGAAGATGGCTTTCGGAGGAGGAGGAGGAAGTGGAGGAAGGATGAAGGTTTTTTTGAAGTCTTGCCGAAGTTTTAACTTAACAGCCAACTCCTGTTCGGAAAGTTTGACAGTCGATTTTTCTGGCGTGTGGGTGAAAGGAAGTTCAATGGGATTTAGGGAATAAATCTGATTTTTTAGAATGAGTTTAAGACAGAGACCAGTCCAAACACTATCAAAGTGTGCTCAGTTCAGTTGCATCTTATGGAACTTGTTGCAGATTTGATGCGTCGCTGCAGGAACATTGCGTTTCTAAGGACTTGGGGTGAATTGGAAATGTCAGAATTTTGATAGTGAGCAACTTCAGTAAATTTGTTTAGAAGATTCTGTTATTTGGGTCAGGCACTACATTGTTTTCTCTCAGAAAAGTCAGTCGTGTCTAAAAATTTTATGTTCTCTTTCAAAGAGTCTTATACTATTATTTTAAGTATGTTCCCTTTCAAAGAGAGTTACACTATTTTGAGTCCTTCCACAGATCAGAAGTAAGATGAGTACTGTTGTCCTGTTGGACAATAACAGCACTCTTAAGGCTCTGTAAATTTGTGCTCCTTAAGTGGGAGGGATGTGTACAATCCTTTGTTGCTTCTTTTTCCAAAATATTTTGTGAAAATGAAGTGGGTAGCACTAGAAATTCCTATGCACAGGCCCCTCATCTTGAGACACACAGCTTCAGTTAGGCTTAAAAAGTAAACACAGTGAGCTATACAGTTTATTTCTGTTTTGAAAGATTCAGCCCTGCTTGGGAGTTGGTATGACCTTGTACTAAGTGTGTAGTTTTTGATGTGTTATGACCTGGAGAAGTAGTAGCCTTGTTGCTCGCTGATCCACCTTCCTTTGCATTGAGGATGGCTTGTGTGATTACAGGACAGACTGAATCAAGAAGCTTGTCTGTGTCTGACTGCTTTTTGGTGCCCTTTTTTTTTTTTCTTTCCATTTTCCTTAGGCTTGGGACATGGCTGGGTATTTGTGTGGAGGAACAAGCAGAGAGTAAGAGTGTCTTTGGAAAAAGTGCTGGCTCAGCAGCTGTGAGTTAGATGAAGCTTCCTAATTTGGTTCAGATTAGAAAAGAGAAAGGTGTGCCCCAGCAGAAGCAGGTTTCTTCATACTCTCCTTTTTTTTTTTTTTAACTGAAAATCTTTAATGAAAATACAAGAGTTTGAGGTACTGGGTAGGCTAAAAGCTGTTCTGTCATTCTGATATTTTCCTGTATCTCGCAGGGATGAGCCTGTGGTATGTAGTCTGGTATTTAAGACTGCCCTGTGATGAGGTGGCTTTGTAACATGTGGTGAATAAAAAAGGCTTGAAGCTGATTTTTGGTCACACTGGAATTTTGGCTAATGAACTGCTTGTCTGCCTTGTTATGGATAATGACTCTACTTTGTGAACTTTTGGTTACATGTTTGCCTTGAATTAGTAGGGCGTCTTTTAGGAAGTCCCATTTATCAGTGCAGGCCCTAGGAAAAATCACTTCCCTGCTCCTGTGCCTTCTCTCCACCTCTCTCTTCCTGCAGCCTCTCCTTGTTCTACGCCTTGTTTTCTGGAAACTGTAACACTTAATCCTCTGCCACCTCTTCCCATGGTCCATGGCTGGTGGAACAGCAGCAGGAGGAGCTGGATTCTAGCTGGGCACCTCTGAGCCCCCTGCCACCTCCCAAGGTGGCCTGACTGCCTGGCCCTGGCTCAGCACATGCTGCCTCCTGTCCCAGGCTGACACATGTTCTGTTGAGCACACCTGAGTGAGATCTTTTTTCACCAGATGCTTTGAGAACCAGCCCAGGTGTTACTGAAAGGATGCATTACCCTTCAGATAGATGATTACTGGTACACAGGCTGTTAACCAGAAGTATAAAACCATTCATATTCTCATTTTCATGGAGGTAATAAACACAGGAGTTAAATAGATAGCTACCTTGTATTTTTGCAAGTGAAGCATAAAATTGAAAAAAGCAACCTGACTCTGTGTGTGTTTTCAGTTCCTGAGTCCTCATTTCTTTGCCATTTTTAAGAAATATACGTTTAACACAAACACTTAAGGTCTGCAGCAAGCTGCTCAGCTTTCCACGGCAAAGGGCAGTAATTAGCTCTCAGAGTTTGGTTTTCTCGTTTGTTTAGTAGTAAACATCCTGCATGATCAGGACATTTCTTATGCATATGGATTTGCTCACAAGCCAGCGTTTCCACTCAACTGACAAATGCTGAGTTCAGAAGCGTGTGCACTTTGCCTTTGCATGTTCCAACACACTATAACTAGACTAACCTCTTCCAGTCACTTTACAGGTATGTGGAGGTTCTAACAGAAACATTTTTCCATTTGAAAGGCATTTTACAATGTAGAGCTCCTGTAGTACAACGGGAAAGGGATCTGCAAGATTTCTTTGAATAAAAAAGCCACCCACAGGATTAGCAATCACCGTTCTACTTAAACTTGCACTTCCATTGAAAGAAAGTGTCTAGCTTACACTGTTTTTCTAGTTTTAACTGTTTGCTGATAAGTCTACAGGCAGATGTTCCAGTTCTTCTGCTCAGAGGTTCTGAGGAACTTAGAAGAAAAGTGGATCTCAACATTTGAACATTTAAAATGATTCTTTTGAACACACATAACTTCTAGGTGGTCCAGAAATTACTGGAGAAGAAGTCAGGTGAAGACAGAGGAAAGGGTGGAATAGTAAACACAGCAAAGAAATGAAGAAGTTGGCTTTTTGGTACACAGAAGGCTGGATGCACTATGAAGTAATGGAGTTTACTCCATTTCAACCCTCCCTTACTATCAAGTGTAGAACTAGTAGTTGTAGGAAGTAAGATAGACTGATTTTTAATTTTTTTTTTTAATTCAGTATAACTGATGAACATTCCTGGCATTTTGCCAAATTGTTCAGCCACTGTGTCTGGTCAGGTGCAATTCATCAATGATGTTCAGTTTTATTTCACAAATCCTGAAGATAATATTCAATTAACTTTTGTTTGGATGTGGAAGTTAAATATATTGAAAATGCATTGAAGAAATATTAAATACAAAGCTATTAGAGGTGCCATATATTGTGTGGAAGAGTTTTTTTCTTTTAGTCCCTTCAAGAAGCGGAGGATAAAGTCTTTGGAGTCATGATGTTCTGGCAGAGTAAGGTTATGCAAACACCTCACCATAGCTAGTGGCTTTAGCCTCTAAATAAATATGGTGGAAGCAAAGAGAAAAAAAGTCCCAAGTATTTAAGTAGTGAAACAGCTTTGTGTTTTATGTTGGAAACAAGCAGTTTAAGTGTGGAACTAAGTGTGTTCAGGCCTTGTTTAAGCAATTTTGCTGATTTATAACTCAAGTACATCCTGTAGAGGTGGCCTGCTGAGGAAGCAAGGTGCCTTGCTGGTCTGAGCTGTGTATATTGCACTGTATGGAGATCGTGGTTTCTCTGTTCAGGGCTGGGGGTTCTCAGTGGTCCTCACGATGCATAGAGAGCTGTGCATCTTTCATCTCTGTATTGGTCACCTTAAGTGCTTGGCAGGCTTGACTGGGCATGACCAGAGCCTGAGTTCTCTCTCCAGTGGACTTGAGAGTATCCAGTGTCTCCTGCAGGAAAGGGGCGTTTGAATTTCACCTTTAGATGGTAATTTTTACTTTTGCACTGCTGTGCTTGAGGGTGTTATCTTTGAGCTGGTGGTCTTCCTTTCCATGCTGGCTTTGACAAGTGTCCTACTAAAAGATACAGGAACTTCCTAATGATCAAAAAGCCTGTTGAACAGCGTCTCTTCCATGTCTCTGCTGTAAATATGCCAAGTCCCTCCTGCTGGGCCATCTTCCTGTTTCTTCATTCCAGAATCTGCTCCCTGTCCCTCCACTTTAAAACTAGACAGACCAGTGCTTCTCCTTTGCTAATACTTTCACCAGCACCAGTCCTTTAAAAGCTGTATTCTGTATGTAGAAGTTCAGGTGCTGAGTTTAAGATCACTGAGGTAGCAGACTTGGAAATCTCCTCTTAAGTGATCTTGATTCAAGATTAAAGACTTCATTTCCAGAATTTCACTTCCCAGTAGCCAAATAAATTAGCTCATTTTGCTTGCAATCATTCTTGCATTTGCATGACTGTACAGTGATGAAGTATGTTCACTGGAATTTTGCCATGTACTGTCTCAGTTGAAATATGGAATTGCTAACAAGGCTTTTCCAATATCCTGGCTGTTGAGATGTCAATCACTTGGTTTTTCTTTGCCAAAAGAAATACCCTGCTTGGCCAATGGTAGTAGTAGTAAAAACCGTGTCTTGGTTGAAACATTTTAATGGAGGAAAAGAACAGACCTGCTGCTTTAAGCAGAATCACTGATCCTGTTTTTCAGAACTGTTTCTCAAACTTGCTGAAGTAATTAATTACTGTTTGAGACTTTAGGATGCCATTAAGGATTCACTTGAGCAATACTGCTCCTAATAAAGCCTGTTCACCAAATTAGGCCATTTGTTGTCATCAGAACTGCCAGAAATCGTAGAAACTTGACTGATTCCCTGCTGTAAATTTCTGAGGAGTGGCATAATTTTACCTGTTTCAGTGGTGAAAATAAAAGACTTATTAACAGTCTTATGTTATGACTGTAGATACTCTATACTGAACCCAAAAT